ATATATTATATATAAAATATTTTCTCTGTTTAAAGTGCAATCTCGCCCGCCATTTGCATAAATATTGAGATTTTTTTCGAAATGTATCTCAAAACTTTATTACGGTTATTTTATTAATGAAATCCTTTTTTTTTCTGTTGTGCGTGTGGTCTGCATTTTATCTCGTGCTAATAGGTCGATATGAAATATCGACTTCGCGCGTCAACTAATTTTAGATAATACGTAGAAATTCAAATATATTCATTTGAATGAATGTTAATGAGATTACCGGCTATTTTCTCGGTGAGGTAATTAATTATGTAAATTTGATTGGATAAAATCCAGAGAATGTGATGATCCGGGGAATAATTCAAAGCTCATATTACGTTGCAACATAATATTTCGATGCAATGTTTCTGATGCTGAACATTCTGCATATTGATGTTTAATATATTAATAAATAGACGTGTACGTTAAATTTTACACACACACACACACACACACACATACATACAGAGGTATACAAGTAGCACACATGTATATATATCACATAAAGTGTTACAGGATATTTTCTCCGAAATTCTGAAAGGTAGCGAGGAAATTCTTTTTGCAATTTTAATGGTTCGTTGGAACCTTTTAAATGACAGACAAGACCCTTGTCCTTTCAAAAAGGAACAAAAGAAACCATATCACTCTTAAAAAGCGGCATATATCTTATTCTTGAAAAATTATCTTTTTTTAACTTGAAAAACGATTCTTTTTACATAATATAATTTTTCTAATTATTTCATACATTTTATTATATTTTTCTCTATATTTTTATTTTGTTGAATATTCGATTCTGTAATATCCTATAATACAATTAATTGCTTTTCCAACGTCTTTAAAAACGATGAACACGTATTCAACAATTTTGATCATACAAACAGCGATTATTAATAGTTGTTGTTGTCATGAAATATTCCACTGCCATTAGCTCGATCGATAATATTCCATTTAATATTTCACCAATAAATTCAACTTGCAATGAGCACTCCTTATGGCACTCGTTCGTTAGATTTAATCCGATTATTCTGCACAAATTTATGGAGAGAGAGAGAGAGAGAGAGAGAGAGAGAGAGAGAGAGAGAGAGAGAGAGAAGAAGAGAGAG